CTGTGTCTTCCTTGGTTTCCCTGAGGACTCCTCTGACTTCACCTTTTACCACCCTCCCTCTCACCGGTTCTTTGACTCCCGTGACGTTCGTTTCGAGGAGTCCACTCCGTACTACGTCAGGTACCCCAGTCGAGGTCTCCCGGTTCCTCCCCCCCCCCTCTTCCTGACTGCCGTTCCCCCTCCTGCTCCCCCGGTACAGCCTCCCCCCCCTGGTCCAGCCCCGTCAGGTGTGTCCCAGGCTACCCCTCCTCCTTCGGTAGCCCCTCCGGTACAGCCTCCCTCCCCACAGTCCTCCTCGCAGCGTGCCGCTGGTGCTAGCTCTCGAGAGGTTGGTACGGCGCCTGTTCCTGTACCGGTTTCTGGTTCTGGGGGTGCTGGAGTTGGAGCTGGAGTTGGAGCTGGAGTTGGCACTGGAGTTTCTGGTTCTGGGGGTGCTGGAGTTGGAGCTGGGGTTGGAGCTGGAGTTTCTGGTTCTGGAGTTGGAGCTGACCCGGTGGGTGCACAGGACTCTTGTCGTCCGGGAGCTGGTGCTGGCCACGCGGACACTGGGGGTGCTGCGTTTGGGGGTGAGGGTGCGCCTCCTTCGGGTTCAGGTGAGCCTGGGTCTGGAGCTGGTGTTAGTGCTGCCTCTGGGGGTGGTGCGCCTAGTTCTTCTGGGGTGGACTCTGGAGCTGCCGCTGCTTCGGACACTACTCCACCCCCCCACCCCTACCCGACTAGGCACCAGGCTCGTGTTCGCCGTGCCCGTGACGAGCAGCTGGCGTTGGAGAGAGAGGAGAGGGAGTTACAGCGCCTGGAGGAGCAGCAGCAGCAGCTGGAGCCGCAGGAGCAGCAGCAGCAGCAGCAGCAGCTGGACCCGCAGGAGCAGCAGTCCCAGCAGCAGCCCCGTCCGCAGCAGCAGCAGTCGCAGCCGCAGCAGCAGCAGCCACTTCCTCCTCCTGTCTCGGGTCTTCGGATCCTTGGTCTCCCCTCCCCTTCTCCTCCCTCCTCCGCCTCTCCTCCTGTCTACGGTCCCACGTTTCCTCCTCCTGACTCCTCCCCCGCTGTTTTCCCCAGTTCTCCGCCCTTGTCCTCTTCTCCTCCGTCTCGTTCTTGGGCTACTCGTCGCTCCCCTCGTGCTCGTCCCTCGTCTCCTGTTCCCTTCACTGACCTTTGTACTGCCTTCCTTCTTTCTAGTCCACCTCGTCCGTCTCAGTCTGTGCTTCCGTCTCCTCCTGAGTCGGCCCTCACTGTGTCGCTCCCTACTCCTGTCACTGACTACTACCGCACGTACCGTCCTGTTCTCTCTCGTGTTCTCGCCTCTCTTGTTACTCACCCTCGTGCCTCTGTGTCCTCTGTGTCCGCTCTTACTGCCGCAGTTACTGACTTTGCCTCTACCCGCCGCCTTGACTACGCCACCACGCTTGTGGGTGCTCCTCCTACCAGTCCTCTGGCCGTCGGGGGTGTGTCTGCCCTTGGCTGTGACGCCCTAGAGGACAGGCAGTTTGAGCTAGAGTTCCTGGCGGCCGCTTCCCCTCATCTCTGTGCCATGCTCCTCGCCCCTGAGGGTGACCTCGACGCCCTTGACATTCCGACTCCTCGCACTTACGCTGAGGCAGTGTCAGGGCCTTGGGCCTCTCAGTGGAGAGCTGCCATGGACGCAGAGATGGCCTCCTACAGATCCACAGGCACCTACGTCGATGAGGTTCCCCCCCCTGGGGCGAACGTAGTCGACGGCATGTGGATCTACAGGGTGAAGCGGCCACCGGGATCTCCCCCGGTCTTCAAGGCGCGCTACGTGGCTAGAGGTTTCAGTCAGCGCGAGGGAGTTGACTTCTTTCAGACCTTCGCACCTACCCCGAAGATGACCACTCTTCGGGTGTTACTACACGTAGCAGCACAGAGAGACTACGAGTTACACTCTCTTGACTTCTCCACTGCTTTCCTTCAAGGCAGCCTACACGAGGAGGTCTGGTTGCGTCGTCCCTCGGCCTTCACTGGCACCTTCCCTCCTGGGACCCAGTGGAGGCTGAGGCGACCTGTTTACGGTCTTCGCCAGGCCCCTCGTGAGTGGCACGACACTCTGCGTTCTACCCTCTCTGACCTTGGGTTCCAGCCGTCTTCTGCCGACCCGTCGCTGTTCGTTCGTCGTGGCTCCACACCGTTCTTTGTTCTGGTTTACGTCGACGACCTCGTTTTCGCCACTCCGGACAGGGTTGCTTTGGCAGACGTGAAGTCCGAACTGCAGAAGAGACACACGTGCACTGATCTTGGTGAGCTGCGCCACTACCTTGGCCTGCAGATCACCAGGGACAGAGCCGCTCGCACCATTACACTCTCACAGTCACACATGGTGCAGCAGGTCCTTCAGCGGTTCGGGCTTCAGCACTCCACCGTACAGCGCACACCTCTCGCTGTTGACCACAGACTCACTGGTCCCTTTCCTGACGAGCCGTTTGAGCCTAGTGGTCCCTACGCAGAGCTTGTGGGTTGCCTCATGTACCTGATGACTTGTACTCGCCCGGACCTCGCCTTCCCTCTCAGCATCCTTGCGCGCTTTGTTGCGCCAGGGAGACACCGTCCTGTTCACTGGACGGCAGCTGTGAGGGTGGCGAAGTACCTAGCGACTACATCAGGCGTGGGGCTAGTTCTTGGAGGGCAGCAGTCTGTCGTACTCACTGGTCACTGTGACTCCTCTTACGCTTACGACGCTGAGACTCACAGGTCTACTCAGGGGTACTGTTTCAGTCTGGGTTCTGGAGCTGTTTCCTGGCGTTCCACGCGCTCCTCTTCTGTCTCGACCTCTACAGCTGAGGCTGAGATTTACGCTGGTGCCATGGCGGCACAGGAGTTGCGGTGGTTGACCTTCTTGCTCGCCGACCTTGGTGAGCGGCCGAGCTCTGCACCGACCTTGTTTACTGACAACAAGGCGTCGATCCTCCTCTGTCGTGAGCCGCGACTGGAGAGCAGAGTGAAGCACATTCACGTCAGGTACTTTCTTCTGCGAGAGTTGCAGAGGCGTGGACAGGCTCGCTTCGAGTTTGTAGAGTCCGAGGCCAACACTGCAGACATCTTCACCAAGGCGCTTCCGCCTTGTGACCACCAGAGGTGTTGTGTGCAGTTAGGCCTTGTTGACACAGGTTCTAGTCATGCGTAGACTTGAGTTTATTGCCTGCTTCGTCTGTACATTTACTATATATACTTGTGATCTCTTGGACTGGCCTTGTGGCCACTGTTGCTTGTGCTCAGAGTGTGTGGTGACGTTGTGATCCACCCTGAGCTTTGTTTTCTTTTGGACTGGTCTTGTGACCGTACTCTTTTTTGTTTTTGCTAGACACCCCTCACTTAGGCTATGGGGGTGTGTCAAATGTTGTAGCCTGTAGTGAGGTTTGTCTTAGGGGGTACAGAAGTTAGGGTTTGTCATATGTACCCCAACCAACATCAATGGAACACTCATTCCTCATTCTGACATAAATGTGTAACTGTAAGAATCACCTGTTTCTACACTACAATCGCAATTTTCAACTCTAATCCCTACAAACTGCCCTTAGGGGTATGTCTGATGGAATGCGTTAAGTTCTGCTGTTGTTTCTTTACAACGACGCTCCTGTCTATCTTCCAATTAGTCATCACATTTGTCACACACCTAAATAAAAAGGCACTAGCCATATGACTAGAGTGGCCCTGGAGTTACAACTATTGCAGGGAAAGTGTCCTGAATAAACCCTTCTACATCTTCTACTTCTGTCGCAATCCTCTGCAGTCACGGAAGGCCCTTGAGCCAGCCAACGCCGCGTGCAGTGATCTTCGCATCCCACAACCCCAGCTTCTCCAGCCGCTTCATATTTCTCAGGTACTTCATGCCAGAGTCAGTCACTCCAGGAGGCAAAGTGAGGTGATTCAGTGCAGTGAGGGCAGTGAGGTTTCCCAGCCCATCCTCCCCCACCCCTCCGTCATGCAGCGCAAGCTCCTGTAAAGCCGTCAGCTTCCCCACATGGACCATACTGGCAGACGTAACAGACACACACCCACCAAGGTGCAGCTCAGTAAGAGCAGGCAGCCCTTCCAGCCTAGCAACCCCAACGTCCATGATCTTGCTGTTGTCTAGAATCAGCGCGCGCAGGCTCGTCACGTGGTCAATACCTTCCAGAGCAGCGTCTGTGATGCACGAGCCTGAAAGGTACAGATGCACGAGGTATGGGAGAGAGTAGAGCGCCCGCACCCCCGCGGCAGTGAAGCCAGAGGAGTCCTCGAGAGTGACGGTTGTGAGCTGGCGGAACGTGGCGAGGCGGGTGAGAGCCGCGTCTGTGAGGCAGGAGATGCCGCTGAGGTCCATTGCGGCCTGCTGCGGCGCTGTCTTGGCCCAGAGCAGGAGCAGCACCTGCAGGCACGGCATGGGTGGGTGGTCAGGAGTGGAGAGAGATGCGAGGGATGATTGGGATGATTGGGATGACTGGGATGAGGGAGATGAGGGAGTAAAGAGTGAGCTAGACTATGGAGCTTCATGTTTACCGCCAGCCTCTGACCCTCTTTGACAGACCATGCTGCTGCGCATGCACTCCCATGTGCCACATGCCTGCCCTCACGCATGCCACATAACCATATGACCATAACCATATGTCCTTCGTCCAACCATCCGAGGAACACGCGTCGCCTCATACGAGTTGGACATGCACGCTCTCATGCATGCCACGCCACTTGCCAATGGAGGCGAAAGTTGTTTCTAGGAGATCACAAAGCTCATGCACACTCACCTCCTATACCCTCCCTTTGTCGATACCACTCTCCTCCAGCGCAACCACTCTATTCAGCAGACAGTTCACCGAATTCTGCAGCAGGGAAGCCCCGGTTTCCCCTCCATTGGAAGCACCGCGATTGGCAATGAGTGCGCAATCTCCCGCAGCAGCATGTGCCATCTCCTCCGCCTTCCCCACCTCCTCCCGCTTCCGTTTCTTCCCCTCGGGCGCTTCCACTCCTGCATGCTCCCCCGCGCTTCCGCCGGGCAGGCTGTGCTCTGCACCCTACATCTCCGCGTGCGTCTTCTCCCGCGCGCTCTTCCACTCCGCCACCGCCAGCTCCACGTCGTTCATCCGCGCCTCAGTGTGCGCCGCCGTTGTGCGGACGTACGCCACTTCCGCCGAAAGCCGCTCCGCCGCAGCCCCCATCCGCGCAATCTCCGCCTTCAGCGCGCCCACCGCGGCTGCCCTCCTCACCACCTCAACGTGCTCCTCCATCCCCTCCATCTCAGACTCAAGCTCACTCCTTACTCTATTCACGTGCTCCTTTATAAGGCTGTCCAGTAACGGGACAAGATTCGTCCGCTCGGAAGTCTGTGCGGGGAGGCTGTCCCCTGCCTTCCCCGCCGCTGCACTTTCCGCCCCACAATTGCCGTTTGCCGCTCCCTCCTACCTCCCCGTGTCCCACGCCCCTTTCGCCGCTGCGCCCTTCGCCGCTTCGGCCTTCGCCATCGCCATCGCGCGTTTCATTTCGTCAACCTCTCTCTTGAGAGCAGCCGTGGCCGCTTCCTGCTGCGCCAGCTTTGCCGCTAAATGCGCTACTCGCACCGCCATGATCCCTCCAGCTGCCTCCCTCCCCATCCCACCAGAGACTTCCGCCGGTAGCACCTTCACGGGCACCCCGTTCACCATCCGCACCATGCCTCCCGCCATCGCCATTCGCAATCGCGAACGTACGAAAGTCGAATCAGAAAGACGGTACGACTGGTGGGGCAAGTATCAGGGGCGTAGGCGGTTGAAATTGGTTAGAGTTGGCTTGCCTGGCTTCCCGTACGCATTCCTCCAAGTCGTTCGTGTTGTATTATTTGGGCATGACAGCTATGACATGTCAGAGGATGCTTTGAGGAATGCTTGTTCGTCTTGAACTTAAAGCTCGCGTCTCATATTTCTGCTATCCAACCAAGTGTTAAACGGTTGGAATTTGGTAACAGCAAAGTTTGTCGCAAAGCACACCAAAGCAAGGGGTGGTTTGGGAAAGTTGGCTGTTGCACACTTCTCGTGCACACCAAGCGTTTACAACTTCCAAAAATATGAGACTCTGAAACTCAACGTTGACAGAAGGGGGGACCGAACCTGTCCCCCTTGGCTCGTTTTCCACCCAAACCAACCCACCCTGGTTTGTTTTGGCCTCGACTGTTTTGGTAGTTCGCTGTGATTTTTTCGCCCACTCGTCAAATATTTTGTTTTCGTTACCCAATCACAGTCGGGCAAACCCAACCAAGTATTAAACGGTTGGTAATATGAGACGCGAGCTTTAATGTTTCGGGACTGTGTTGTTGCCGCCTAAAGCGTCTACCCAGCATTGTTTCGATTCAAACGCCTTCACGTTCTCCCATTTAAAGCCCGGGGTCAGCATGGCAAAGAGGTTTTCGTATTTGAGGCTTTAAACACTACTTGGCTGTGTAGCGAAAATATAAATCGTGATGACTACCCTGGCGAAGCATCACGCATGTTCGCCACACAAAGAGTGGGCTACCAGGCTGATCATACAGCCTACAACCAGGGCGACCCGTCAGGTGCCAAAGAGTGCAACCAATCAGGGTGCATGGATGGTGAACGTGCAAACGAACATAGCTGCACAACCAATCAGGGTGGGGAAAACATGAAAACAGGGAGATACAACTCGGTGTTGGTGTCGAAGGAGGCAATCGAAAGGTAGGTAGGAGAAAATTGGACCACCAATCATGAATTGCATACCACAAGAATGTCAGCTCGACAATTCTCACGCAGCGCACGACTACCTACCGTGCATGGTAGCAGCCAGGCGTCTACGGCAGAAAAGCGCGTCGCGCTTGCCGATTATGATGCATCGCAGGAGATTACAACATCCAGCTGTCGATAACGACAACACGGACACCCGAGATGAGAAGCGACGGATGCTACGAGTAGGCAAGCAAAGTAGGGAAAGCATATGGACAGAGAGAAGGAAGGAAACATCGGGAGCACTAGGTAGCGAGAAAGCTCAACTTCGACTGGTAACTTGGTTTTTTGCGAGTTCATTTTCAGGAATCTTGAACTTGGAAAAAGCCATGTGGTACTCGGGCTTAAACGATGTAGCAGCATTTTCAAATTAGCGACGCGTCTCAAATGGAAGTCACTGCGCTACGCATCCCATGTTTTTACGGGTTGCGGATTGTTTTGGAAGGGTGCTGCACTAACGAGGAAAATAAGAGGGAAAATGTGTGAAGCTGTAAGTATTGATATTGTAAATTTGTTTTGTGTACCATTCTAAAAGAAACGTACTGTAAAAGCGAACACGTGGCCAGGAGAGGTAGCGTGGAAATAATTATCAACATATTTTTTTCCTCTCATGCATTTACTTGTGCTGCATCGTATCTCTTTTTTTTGCCTCATTTGTGCAATCATCTTTCTTTCTTACCATTGCAATGTTAACACGTTCAATTTGAAGAAGCATCTATTGCCTTGTGGACTTTGCTAAACCGGAGATGTGACAGCCCTAGAATGTTCCTCGAGCAAGACACATTCTTGGAATATGCGGGTCCAACGAGTTCACCTTCGTTCGTTCTATGCGGTTATGCTTGCTGCGTCACGGTGCAAAATGGTGAGACTTGATAACCACCGTGCACCGTCTAGAATCGTTTTGCGCCATGGCGGAAAAACTGAAAACAAACGCACTGGACCCGCCCTAAACGCGCCTCTTTGAAATGGCATGCTGGTGACTAACTTTGGTGCCTACTTGCCAAGGCTAGTGGGCTCACATCTTGCCCAATTTTGTGTCACGCCTACTCCTAACGCTTCCCCTAGTAACTTGACGTTCGTACGGTCACGATTGCAACGGGCAATAACGGGAGCCATGTCACACGGAGAGACGGTCAGTGAGGCAGCAGGAGGAATGGAGACGCGAGTAGAGCAGTTAGCAACGAGGCTGATGCAGCAGGAGGAGGCCATGGCTGCTCTCAAGAGCGAGGTTGACGAACTGAAACGCGCGATGGTGAAGGTCGCAGAAGCGAACGACGCAGAGGCGAAGGGCGCAAATGCAACGGGCGCAGAACCAGAGGGCGCAGAGGCAGTGTGCGCAGAAGCGACGGACGCGGCGAAGGGCGCAGTGGCGAAAGGGGCGTTGGAGACGGGCAATTAGCGACGGGCGCGGTGAGCGCGCTGAAGGCGGAGATTGCGCTGATGAAGGTTGCGGCGGAGCGCCAGGCGGCGGAGGTGGCGTACGTGCGCGCAATGGCGGCGCACGTTGAGGCGCGGATGAACGACTTGGAGCTGGCGGTGGCGGGGTGAAAGAGCGCGTGGGAGAAGGAGCGCGCGGTACGCAACCAGGCCGGGGGAAGCGCGGGGGAGCAAGCAGGAGCGGAGGGGCGCGAGGAGGATTTGGCGCCAGCTGCAGCGGGCGGTTGCGCACTTATCGCCAATCGCGGTGCTTCCGATGGAAAGGAGGCTGATGGAGAAAGGAAGGCTAACATATCGGGACTGAGAGCGGTGGTGGATGGTCTGCGGTGCAGAGTGGTGAAGCTGGAGAAGAAAAGTGACAAAGGAGGGAGGGTATGGGAGGTGAGTGCATGTGTTGTTTTGTTTTTTTCCAGGCAGCTGCTGCCACCACTTGCATGTGACATGAGAGCGTGCATGTATAGTGTGATAGATGACCCTGGTGGTTTTACGCACACGAGAAGATGCGGTATGTGGTAAGCATGAGGACATCCATGTGGCACATAGGAGCATGTGCAGTAGCATGCTGAATGGCTGATGGTACACATGACGCTCATGATTCTCATCCCTCTATCAGTAGATCTGCACTGTGGATGCCCGATTGATCCTACGGGGGGTTACAGGTGCGTTTTCCTGGGGGGTTATGGGCACACCCTGACCCGCTACTTAACAAGCCCTTTTATCCCAATGGTCTAGTGGTTGGGATTCTAACATGGTATCAGAGCGGTCTCGGGTTCGAATCCCGGTGTATGCACATGTTGGCCGTTGCCACTGTGCTCAGTCCTGGGCCTCCCAGTGTGGGGGGGTGTCAGTAGAGCTACACTGTGAGATCCCCGATCGATCCTAGGGGGGGTTAAAGGCACGTTTGCCTAGGGGGTTATGGGCGGACTGACCCGCTACTGAAACAAGCCCTTCTATCCCAGTGGTTAGTGACTGGGATTCTAACATGGTGTCAGAGTGGTCTCGGGTTCGAATCCCGGTGTATGCACATGTAGGTTGTTGCCGCTGTGCTCAGTCCTAGGCCTCCCAGTGTGGGGGGGTGTCAGTAGATCTGCACTGTGGATGCCCGATTGATCCTACGGGGGGTTACAGGCGCGTTTGCCTGGGGGGTTATGGGCGCACTCTGACCCGCTACTTAACAAGCCCTTTTATCCTAGTGGTCTAGTGGTTGTGATTCTAACACCCTCTCCTCCTTCTCACCCCTCTCATCCCTCTCACCCCTCTCATCCCTCTCATCCCTCTCATCGCTCTCACCCCTCTCATCCCTCTCATCCCTCTCTACTCCTAACCGCCCACCCATTTCTTTGCCTGCAGCTGCTGCTCACGCTCTGGGCCAGAACAGTGCCAAAGGAGACTGAAATGGACCTCAACGGCATCTCCTGCCTCATAAATGCGGCTCTCACTCGCCTCGCCACGTTCCACACCTAACAACAGTCAGCCTTGACAACTCCTCTGGCTTCACCGCTGTGGGGGTGCGGCAGCTCTTCTCCCTGTCAGCCTTAGCGCAACTGGACGTCTCGGGCTCAGCCACAACGGATGCTAGTCTCAAAGGGATTGGCCTCGGAAAGAGCCTGCACAGTCTTATTCTTGACAGTAGCACGATCACACACGTTGGGATAGCGAGGCTGGAAGGGCTGCGTGCACTTAAGGTGCTGCACCTTGGTGGGTGTGTGCTTGTTATCTCTGCCGGTATGGTTCATGTGGGTAAGTTGACAGGTTTACATGAGCTCGTGTTGCATGAAGGGGGTGTGAGGGAGGATGGGCTGATGCATCTCACTGGCCTCACATCACTGAATTACCTCATTCTGCCTCCTGGAGTGACTGATTCTTGTTTGAAGTACCCGAGGAACATGAAACGCCTGGCGAAGCTGGGGGTGTGGGATGCTAAAATCATTGCACGCGGTGTTAGCTGGCTCAAGGGCCTTCCTTGCCTCCAGAAGCAGAAGATGTAGAAGGGTTTATTCAGGACACTTTCCCGGCAATAGTTGTGACTCATGTGCCACTCTAGTACTCACCTCATCCTTTATTTGTCATAGGTTCCACCAATAAATCGTTTTCTTCCACAGAGACTATATTTCCGATCAAACATGAGAGTTACTGACTAAACATGTTTACAATTTGTGATATACAGTGTCCCAAGGAGGTTACACTGTATTTTCAATACTACAGTCATATTTTAGCCGCCTAGGCCAAATCTCCAGTACATCGAGTCCTCGCCAATTTCACGCACGGTCAGTTATTCCTTCAAGCCAGACTGACGTTTTTTGGCTATAGGTATCAGTCACCTACGAACTAGAGGCTATCCGAGGCATTGTAAGTTTCGATGTTGCCCCATCTGACGTTGAGACCGCAACGCAAAGTCTGAATCTCCTGCTACGACCATGTATTTTTTATTTTGGGTTGCGAAGCAACCTATTACAATCATTATGTATTTTTTTTTTCATCCTCTATACATAAAAAAATAAAGGATGAAAAAAATC